GTGGTTACTAGGGTACTCTATATGGTTGCTATGGTGTGCTTATACAGTTTATGAGATGATATTTAAAGACTAGTTGACAGTCTAAGTCAAAAAAGCCAAACTCCATGTTTCTACTATATTCTGGAGCTGAGATATGGCTTGGAAATGTAGTTTTATGGTTGCTAGGGTGCTGTAACTGGTTGCTATGGTGTGGCTATGAAGATTTTAGGACATTACTTATTGGCTGCTTGATAGGCCGAGTCAAAAGAGGCCAAACCCAAGTCTCTATGACCTTCTGGTCAAAAGATATGATCTCACAAATTTTGTGCCAATGTTAAGTCTATGGGACTTTTTTCGTCCAATTTATCGCCCGCCGGACGATCATCGTACAACCGATCGCTTAGAAAAGACATAGCACACCTCTCCTCAATGAACCGGTTGATTTGATACCTCATTCATGGGTCTACGAGAAAACGTGCGGGAGGAGTAGCGTGCCGAAGTTTTGTCAAGGTGAATAGTAATCACAACACTAGAATGTACATTTCCAGAAGAAAATGTGAAGTGGTGCTTGCAGTGGCAAAACTCGCCGCTCGGTTGCTAGCGTGCGGTTAGCTAGTTTTTACCAAGATGCTAGCATGATTAGCATGATTAGCATGTTGCTAGCATCATGCTAGCATGATTAGCATGTTGCTAGCATCATGCTAGCATTATAAGCATGTTACTAGCATGTTTTAGTTAGATTCTCCCATTATGCTAGCATGTTGCTAGCATGATGCTAGCAAAAATAAGAATGTTGCAAACATGTTTTAGTTAGATGCTAGCATTATTTGCATCATGCTAGCATGATTAGCATATTGCTAGCATCATGCTAGCATGATTAGCATATTGCTAGCATCATGCTAGCATGATTAGCATATTGCTAGCATCATGCTAGCATGTTTAGCATGTTGCTAGCATGATGCTAGCATGTTTAGCATGTTGCTAGCATGTTGCTAGCATCTTGCTAGCATGATGCTAGCATGTTTAGCATGTTGCTAGCATGTTGCTAGCATGATGCTAGCATGATTAGCATGTTGCTAGCATGATGCTAGCATGTTTAGCATGTTGCTAGCATGTTGCTAGCATGATGCTTGCATGATTAGCATGTTGCTAGCATGATGCTAGCATGATTAGCATGTTGCTAGCATATTGCTAGCATGTTGCTAGCATGATGCTAGCATGATGCTAGCATGATTAGCATGTTGCTAGCATGATGCTAACATGATTAGCATGTTGTTAGCATGATGCTAGCATGATTAGCCTGTTGCTAGCATGTTTGTAGCTAGTTGCTAGCATGATTAGCATGTTTCTAGCATCATGCTAGCATGAATAGCATGTTGCTAGCATTATGCTAGCATGATTAGCATGTTGCTAGCATGATGCTAGCATGTTTAGCATGTTGCTAGCATGGTTGCTAAGGTATTACTAGGTGGTTGCTAGGGTGTTGCTAGGCGGTTGCTAGGGTGTTCTGGGTGGTTGCTAGGGCGTTGCTAGGCAGTTGCTAGGGTATCCTGGGTGGTTGCTAAGCGGTTGCTAGGGTAATTTGTGTGGTTGCTACGGCATTCCTAGGGTGTTCAGGGTGGTTGCTAGGGTGTTGCTAGGTTGTTGCTAAGGTATTCTGGATGGTTGCTAGGGTGTTCTGGGTGGTTGCTAGGCGGTTGCTAGGGTGTTCTGGGTGGTTGCTAGGCAGTTGCTAGGGTATCCTGGGTGGTTGCTAGGCGGTTGCTAGGGTAATTTGGGTGGTTGCTAGGGCGTTGCTAGGCAGTTGCTAGGGTGTTCTGGGTGGTTGCTAGGGTGTTGCTAGGCAGTTGCTAGGGTATCCTGGGTGGTTGCTAGGCGGTTGCTAGGGTGTTCTGGGTGGTTGCTAGGGCGTTGCTAGGCAGTTGCTAGGGTGTTTTAGGTGGTTGCTAGGGTAATCTGTGTGGTTGCTATGGTGTTACTAGGTGGTTGGTAGTTGTCAAAGATGGTTACTGTTGAGTTTGTAGCATTTTATTGGCATGATTTAGCACTTAGCTAATCAATATTAGCATGTAGCTATTCACTGCTAGCATGTGTAGCATGTAGCAAGTCCTGTTTGCTAGCATGAGTCAAAAGACCCAACCCCCATCTCTATACGATGTTCTGATGCAGAGATATCGGTCTTGCAAAACGGTTGCTAGGGTACACTGTTTGGTTGCTAGGGAGTGGCTTGGCAGCTGCCAATCATGAAGCTCCAAAGTCAATGTGAATGTATAAACCAACCCCCATCTCTATACGATGTTCTGATGCAGAGATGTAGGTCTTGCAAAATGGTTGCTAGGGTACTCTGTTTGGTTGCTAGGGAGTGGCTTGGCAGCTGCCAATCATGAAACTCCAAAGGCTGCTTGTCAGTATGAATGATATAAACCAACTCCCATGCCTCTGTGACATTCAGAATGGACGATATTCCTCTTTGGATTTTGGTTGCTAAGGTGCTCGACAATGGTTGCTAGGGCGTGGCTAGGAAGTGTTGAGGTGACTCATGATTGGCTGTTTGCTGCCCCGAGTCAAACGAGACCACCCTCATGTTTCTATGACAATTGAGTCCAGAGATATCCCTTCGATCTCTTTCAATGGAAGTCTATGGGAGTTGTTGCTAAGGTGCTCTAAATGGTTGCTAGGGCGTGGCTTGATAGCTTCACAATGATCCTGAGAGACTGATTGGTTGTCTGAGTAAAATGAGTCCGCCCCCTTGTCTCTATGACACTGTGACCCACAGCTATGTTCAATACAAAATCCCTATGTAATTTACCATAGTAGGAGAAACGCATGCATTTCATGGGCCGTCCTACACCATAGTAAGTCAATGGGGCAACTTTGGGCAGCTCCTGCCCCACAGGGGTGCAACTTTTACCCCATTGTGTGGTATGTTCTTACAGAGTCTGTCAGCCTCTTCAAATGTGGCAAATTTCACGTTTCTGCGACATCCTCGTTCCGAGCTACGACTCGTCAAAGTTTTTCGCAATGTTAAGTCTATGGGATTTTTTTGGGCCGTTTTTCGCCCCTGGGGCGACCATCGTACCCCCGATCTCTTAGAAAAGTCATAGCACACCATTCCCGAACAGGCCGCACGTTTTGACACCTCATTCATGGGTCTGTGACAAAAACTGCGGGAGGAGTAGCGCGTCAAAAAGTGGCCAGAAGAATAAGAATAAGAAGAATAAGAATAATAAGTATGTGAGATAACAATAGTGTTGCTTCGCCATAGGCAAGCACCACTAATAATAATAATAATAAGTTTAAATACAACATCAGTAAGTTGGCTCTCACAAGCCAACTTAATAATAATAATAAGTTTAAATACAACATCAGTAAGTTGGCTCTCACAAGCCAACTTAATAAGTTTAAATACAACATCAGTAAGTTGGCTCTCACAAGCCAACTTAATAAGTTTAAATACAACATCAGTAAGTTGGCTCTCACAAGCCAACTTAATAAGTTTAAGTACAATATCAGTAAGTTGGCTCTCCAAGCCAACTTAATAATAAAATATATAAAAATTATATAAAAATATTAAACATTATACAATTAAAATGTTAAAAGTTATATTAAAAATTTAAATAAACATGTAAATCATACTGACTAACACTATAAGTGGTCGGTAAATAATATATACAAAAATTAAAATATATAATAATAATAATAAAAAATTAAATATATTACATATAAAATAAAAATGATAAAATAAAAATGTTAATAATAATATACTCACCGGCCACTTTATTAGGTACACCTGTCCAACTGCTCGTTAACACTTAATTTCTAAGCAGCCAATCACATGGCGGCAACTCAGTGCATTTAGGCATGTAGACATGGTCAAGACAATCTCCTGCAGTTCAAACCGAGCATCAGTATGGGGAAGAAAGTTGATTTGAGTGACTTTGAACGTGGCATGATTGTTGGTGCCAGAAGGGCTGGTCTGAGTATTTCAGAAACTGCTAATCTACTGGGATTTTCACGCACAACCATCTCTAGGGTTTACAGAGAATGGTCCGAAAAAGAAAAAACATCCAGTGAGCGGCAGTTCTGTGGGCGGAAATGCCTTGTTGATGCCAGAGGTCAGAGGAGAATGGCCAGACTGGTTCGAGCTGATAGAAGGGCAACAGTGACTGAAATAACAACTCGTTACAACCGAGGTATGCAGCAAAGCATTTGTGAAGCCACAACACGCACAACCTTGAGGCGGATGGGCTACAACAGCAGAAGACTCCACCGGGTACCACTCATCTCCACTACAAATAGGAAAAAGAGGCTACAATTTGCAAGAGCTCACCTAATTGAACAGTTGAAGACTGGAAAAATGTTGCCTGGTCTGATGAGTCTCGATTTCTGTTGAGACATTCAGATGTTAGAGTCAGAATTTGGCGTAAACAGAATGAGAACATGGAACCATCATGCCTTGTTACCACTGTGCAGGCTGGTGGTGGTGGTGTAATGGTGTGGGGGATGTTTTCCTGGCACACTTTAGGCCCCTTAGTGCCAATTGGGCATCGTTTAAATGCCACGGCCTACCTGAGCATTGTTTCTGACCATGTCCATCCCTTTATGGCCACCATGTACCCATCCTCTGATGGCTACTTCCACCATGTCACAAAGCTCTAATCATTTCAAATTGGTTTCTTGAACATGACAATGAGTTCACTGTACTAAAATGGCCTCCACAGTCACCAGATCTCAACCCAATAGAGCATCTTTGGGATGTGGTGGAACGGGAGATTCGCATCATGGATGTGCAGCCGACAAATCTGCGGCAACTGTGTGATGCCATCATGTCAATATGGACCAAACTCCCTGAGGAATGCTTCCAGCACCTTGTTGAATCTATGCCACGAAGAATTGAGGCAGTTCTGAAGGCAAAAGGGGGTCCAACCCGTTACTAGCATGGGGTACCTAATAAAGTGGCCGGTGAGTGTATAATAGGAGTAAAATTGATACATCAAGAGTTTTTTGTTTGCTTCCCACAGTGATGTTCATAAAATGGAGAAGGAAATGGAGGTGGATGAGCTGAGAGCCAGAACCCGTTCCATAAGCATAAAGCCGTTTCATGACGCTCCACCGAAGGTTTCTGTCTTTTCACTCTCTATTTATCTCATACGGTTATATTTATCAAATCATAATTTTTCTGTTCATCTCCATTCTTGTTTTATGAAAAGCCATCAAGACTTAAACCATCTGGTTTCAACACTCTCAATCCACATCTACATTGGCAGGTGAGTTTTTCCTCCTAACGTCTGTCGTTGCTTTAACTGCACAAAACGCAGCCCCTTTGTAGTTATAAGTAGATTCGCATTGTAATGTTTAAAATACAGGTCCATAGGTCTCATTTCATTCTCATAGACGGCAATAAATGAAATGGAGAGACTTTTGCTCCTCACACGTTTCTCCTGAGAAAAGACTCCTCTAAGCGATCTCCTCATAGTCTCATATTCTGACATCTCAATATGAACTCAAACTTTTATCATCAAATTCTCCCACAATTTATAGCTTTATTTGTATATATTTCAAAGTAATTTTGAGAGAAACATCTTAAACAATGTTAATACTGAAATAAAAGATAACTTGGAGATCCATTACGTCTCCTGAGCAATGAAAGAGAAACTCCTGAGCAATATATTTGTGTTTTACTCTGGATGATGCATTTAAAATTGGTAGACTTACTATAAACTATAAACAGCTTTATGTTGGTCACGTCTATCTAGGTCAAGTCACACCATTTCCAGTACGTGTGGTTTTGGCCTGCTTTTCTGCATTCGTGCTTGAAACCGCCATGTTATGCATGTCATTGTGTGAATATGTTTTAGCGTGTGGTTTAGTTTTGCTTTTGTGTGTGTGTTCTTGCTCATGCGACCAACTTTCCAGCTGCCCGAGTCTCTGCGCATTAGCTCGCCTGTCCTCTCCAGCCCGCCAGACTGCCGTTTCGCGCTCACGCTGACCCTGCCGCTGTCCCCTCGCCGTGGCAGTATGGGGGTAAGAGCCCACCTGCCTTCAGTACTGCAAACATACTGCTCCTGTGTATCCTAGATCATCTCACTGCAAACAATGATTTTGTTACTCAGTGTTTTTGTCTTGGTTTCCAGTACAATTATCCTAACATTCTTAATCAAGATACATTTACTTGAGAAGCAAAATAACATCAGATATTGCGTCTTGTTTTCTAAAAAATAATGTTACTGGAAGAATGTTTGTTCATAACTTTGAGAGAACTTTGCCAGAACGTTAGCTGGAGTTCTGAGAACATTCCCTTTTAGCTGGGTTTAAAATAAAATGTTAGGCAGACAATTCTTCTTCTTTTAAGCTTAAACTCACTTAATATTGATATATTTTTACTGAAAACAAGACTTAAAATCATGTCATTTTGCTTAGTAAGTAAATGTTTCTTGATTTTAGAAAGTTTAGATATCTTTCCTGGAAAACAAGACAAAAATACTGAGTAAGGAAATAAAATGTTGCAGTGTTGCTAGCAGACTTTAAAAAAGCCAATGAAACGCACAGACCAACAAACACTGCCCAATAACCTAAAAGACTTCATGAGATTGCTTGATAGGCACAGTTTTCTTTCCTGTGTTGATGTATTTCCTATTAAAACAGGAAATTCAGCTGGGGAAAAAAATCATCCTATTTAAGCAACAAACTGCCTTTAGTTGATGTCACAGCCTTGCAAAAACACCCATGACAGCTTGTGCCATAGACTCAAAAAGAGACTTTCGCAATGAATCAATTTCAGCCTCTTCCTTTGTGACCTACTTATGGTCGAGAAAGGAAATAAAGTATGAATGTTACCACAACAGAAGTCACAGTAGAACTATGATTTGCTTCATTGCCGATGCTAGTCGGAAGCAGGTGGTATTTATAACTCACTTAGAGGGAGGGACATTCCTATTCAGCATTTGATTGGACTTCATTTGCATTTATATTTATGCATTTGGCACATATTACATTGCATTTAAGATATATATACACTACCGTTCAAAAGTTTGGGGTCAGTGAGAATTTTATTTTTATTTTTTGGAGGAAAGAAATCAATACTTTTATTTATCAAGGAATAATTAATTTGATCGAAAGTGACAGTAAAAACATTTATAATGTTACAAAAGTCTTTTGAACTTCCTATTCATCAAAGAATCCAAAAAAAAAAAAAAAAAACTGTACAACTGACAGACCAACAACTGTTTCAACATTGATAATAATAATAAATGTTTCTTGAGCATCAAATCCTCATATTACTGATTTGTGAAGGATCATTTGACACTGAAGACACTGACACTGGTGATGCTGAAAATTCAGCTTTGATCACAGGAATAAATTACACTTTACTATATATTCACACAGAAAACAGCTGATTTACACTGGAATAATATTTAATACTATAACTGATTTTTGTTGTATTTTTAATCAAATAAGCACAGCCATGGTTAGCAGAGGAGAATTCTTTTAAAAGTATTTAAAATCGTACTGACCCCAAACTTTTGAACGGTAGTGTATATATTTCTATCAGTTTTTGCACTCCAGGACTTTGGCATTGCTAGTTCTATGAACTGTTTGAGCTACAGGAATGCTTATTGACAAAAATTGGTGTAGTCCATGGAAGTGCTTTTAGAATTGTTTATATACCATTATAGTGTTTATTGATATTTTGAATCATTTTTTTCGTTTTCATTTTTTCCCCCGTTTGTTTTATTATTTTTTTAATGTGCTTTTGTCATTTTTACTAGTTTATTTTATTTTATTTTATTTAGGTTTAATTTATATTTATTTCAGTTAAATCATTTTTGTACTTATTTTAATTTAGTTAGTTGCCTAATTTCCGATTTTTAGGTTTTCAAGCTTTTTTTAATATTATTTTTTAATATTATGTAATAATAATAAAGTACTATTTGCATATTGATGGACTTAATGATAACAGACATGGAATAAAAGCTGCAAAACTGAGTGAGTGTTTCTGTATGTTTGTGAAGGATCGTGGTTTTCCTGAGCCCAGCAGTAAGGAAGACGCCCAGCGGCTGTGGGAACTGGACAGGCAGCGTGTGCAGGAAACTTTAAGGAGGCAGAAACAGGAAATGCTGGAGGACAACAAGTGGCTGGAGAAAGAAGAGAAGCTTCTGGTAAGTCATCAATAGTGTCTCTCGTCAGAGCCGTCCCAGCTAACAGGTGTAGATTTAAAAATCTCGCTTTCCCCTTATTGTTAATTAATTTGACCAGCCACCAGTTATTTTGCCAAGAGATATCTTATTTATTTTACCATTTTATATAAGACATAGGAGAGAGTGACGATGGACCAAACAAAGATCTTCATTCTTGCTTCTCGGTCATTTCTGTGCCGTGGATAGTTTTAGTTCTTATATGCTGACTAAAAAACACTGCATAAACAGAGAAACATGTGGTTCCCATTAACATAGGAATGTACAGTATATACTATCCCGATGGAAACTATACACTGAGTTTGTGCGGGAGGAGTTAGAGACTGAAGTATATTCAGTCACCCAAAGTCTCTCTCCCCCACATATGTATTCAGAACAGTATGTGAACAGTATGATTCATAAAATACAATAATTACAAATGATTATGAATGTATATAAAAAGTATAAAACAGATACATAATACTCGTGATTATGAATATTAATTATAAGTAATAATAATACTAAAAACAATATTAAATGATGAAATTTTAGTCTTCAGTCCCTCCACTGGAACTACGGCCGTCAGCTCCACACCATCATTCCCAGGTGGCCAACCTATTGAAGTGATAGTAAGGAGGAGAAATAGGCCAAAAAATAAACATAAAGGACAGAAGAATAGAAACAGAAAAGAAAACAAGAACAAAACAACAAAGAACTCCAACCCATGTTATGTCCCCGCATAATATGTCATTTAACGTCTATGTGTATGCATTTAAAATAAACCCCAACCATCTAAGAAAAAAAAAATTAATAAATCTTCTCCAGTGCCTGGCAAAACAACAAACTAAAATAAACATTGATGTTAAAGGATCCGATCCCTTGGGGTTGAAAATCAGTAAGCAGATTGATTAAAAATAGATTAAGCAACTGATTAAAAATACTTCTGAGAAAGTAATTCATGTCCAGAGGAGATGGGGGAGAAATACTGGAAATACGGTGTTCAGCTCTTAAAGTGTCAGTTCTTCCAGAGGCCAATAGCTTTAGTTCAGTTCAGTATGTTTTACTGCAGCTCCCTGATGTCCGAGGACACGCTACTCTTCCGTGTGCTTATCCGTGACTGTTGCTTCATCCAGCAGGTGATGGAGGGCCAAGTCACATACTGATCTATGCACGACGCCCTGAACTTTCCATAATTACCCATTTGATTAAGCAGTTGTTAAATGTTTGTGAGGTTGTGTTTTGTGAATAGTGTAGTGTAGTGTATAAAATCTCCTATTTCACACTGTATTCCCCATTCTCGGTTCTATTAATATGTCTCGTATCAAGAATAACTGACAACCATCTCTAATCAATGTCAATAGAGCTCCGGACGTCACGTGACCTACTCTGTTTAAACCACCATATTGGCAGGCAGGAGGCGCTCAGGCGGTCCGGGACCGGGACGTGAATGAATGACGGCAGCATGAGTTTCAAGGCAACAGAGTTCATAGCACACTTTAATTCAAAATACATAGACTTGTACATAACAAAACTTAATAGATTAAATATAACAGATCCCTACAATGCCCCCGGGGTGCTTTTCATGTGTATTGATGAAGGAACTGATAGCTTTCCTGAAAGTAGGCTAATAGGATGAAGAAGAGTCAGCCTCCACAGAACATAAAATATTATTTTTTATTTTATTTTTCGTGTTCGCATTTATGAGGGGAAAAAAACAATGTTACGGACTTGACAGTTCTCCGTTATGGACATGATGACCGCTGTGAAAGTGACTTTAAAACTTTCACGGACTTCAGAAAGCACAAAGACTTTCTTTAAAGTAATTGTATCTTAATTTTAATTAATGCTTCATCAACCATTTGCCTAGATTTAATAAATAAGAAGCAAATATAGAAGACGATAGAAAAGAAACGGAGGCGCCGGCGCGTCATGTCTCATAAATGAACCGAAACTATGTAGGCTACTTCACAGACCTGATAAATGTATAGAAAGCTTGATGTCTACTTTTAAACAGAACATTTAAAAACGAAAAACAGACTGATCTCTGCTTATGTAATCCGTATGAAATCTGCATTTCTCTCTGGCACGTTACTTTGAAGATCGCGAGTCAGCATCGTCAACTTCATATCTTGAAGCCGACACACTGACACAGAAAAACCTTGTTTATTAGTAAACAATTAAAATGTCTCCTTGCTATATATGACATGTTCATAATCATTACCTTTGCCGGTTCTTTGTGGCAGCTTTTAGATACCTACTTTGGAGCGCCACCCTTGTTACATGAACGCACCGCATCAGCACAGAAAACGTGATTTAATATTTTTTTTTTTTTATCTAAAATAAAAAAAATCATGATACGAACAGAATTGTAGGTTTTGTCTATTGTTACAGCCTTAGTAATATGAGAAAGAAGGAGTTAATTTGTTTGTTAGTTGTAAAAACAAAACAAACAATGGCTATCTGAACATCTTTGCCAAGCGCAAACCAGTACAGAAGTAATCAATAAATTATCGGGAAGGGTCATGCTTTTTTTCACAATCGTTTTGGAGGGTCATAGAAAAATTTATTACTGGCGAAGGGAGGGTTAATCAAGTCTTTTTTGACTTTCCCAAGTTTTTCCCAGACATGAAAATATCCTAATGATGTGTCATTAGTTGTCCATTGAAATAATCAATAAAATAAAAAAATTGTGTGAAAAATTTTGTTTTATGGGATAATGATACTATATCTTTACTGTCACTATTGTAAAATTATTCTTTTATATCTTTACGGTGGGATTAAATGGGTTAATCAACAGTTTAAACATTCCCCAAAACCATGTTGAAATTTTATGGTTTTAAAATTTAAATAGACTTTAATCATTCGACCGCTATCGATATCACTGCTACAGCCGCTCTGGCGCTCTCCTGATTTGCCTGCCAAAATGGCGGAGTTTAGATTGCGTGACGTCAGCTTCCGGAGCTCTATGGACTTGATTCCTGAAATGGAAGCAGAAAAATTATTAATCATCACTCATTTTTGCAGTCTTTAAAGTTAATGGATGATCACTGCTCAATCTCAGGCCATAAGCCATCATCATTTTGTTCATTCACAAAGCAAGGTTTAACTTGTGACCAATGATACCATCTATCTGTTCCTACACCCTTCCCTTTAAGACAAACACTTGTTTCAGTTGTTAAGAGTATCTCGTATGGTCCCTCCCAACTAGGTTCTAAACCTTTCCTAGCAATACGTTTGACCATAACAAAACTGCCTTACTCAGGAATGTGTGGAATGTCAGTAGTGGTGTGTTTTTCTGACTAATACAGGGGGCCGCTGATTCCTATTGTGGACGCATAATTCCCTCAATCAGCTGACGGACTTTTGCTTCAGTCCACGTCTTCCCTTGAGAGGTTTCATAATGGTTTTTCGCACTGACTTGTTTAAATGATGGACCTTGACCTTCTGCTCCACCTCCTTTAGCCCAACAATCTTTCTTTGAGTGGCCACGCTTTCCACGTTGTATTGAGCTGTCGCCACTCCTCTTCGATGTTTCCTTCTTCCTTGTTTGATCTCATAGCCATCTCTAGACGGCCAACTCATTGCATAATTTGATCAAATGTTTCGCCTGGATTGACTCCAAGTGATGAGGCTTGTTGGTATTTTGTGCTAAATCCATCCACAAGTGTGTCAGTGAACTGTACATCATCTCTGTCAGGTTGTTTTTTAGCACAGAGAGCCCATCTCTCATAAGCATTTCACCTACGCAGAGCATATTCATCTGGAGATTCATCATCCTTTTGCTTAATTATTGTCACTGATGTGAATGGAATTTTACCGCTGCCCAAGATTTCTTGGATTTCTTTTCGGAACCCATCTAATGCTTGCCAAAGACCCAATGGTCGTCCCACAAGTCTACCCGTCCCATTGGGCTGTTGTTATCGACGCTGGGATGTGTTCCCATCGGTCTCTTGGGATTTTAGCTTTCACAGTGGTGTGTATGTCTCTTAATGTCATTTGATGTGCTTCAACCAAAGAGTCTAGTTCTCTCCAAAACTCTGTGTTTGGATCTTGTCTCTTCAGAGGAGGCAAGGCTGTGAGAATGGCTTGACGTTCTCCTGTTGTGAATGGTCTCTCTTCTGTCATCATTTCAGATTGTAATTCTTCCCTTTTAACAGCACGACTGTTGACTGACACTGCAGTTTTAGCATAGACCCACCCTGAGTGAGCTGTACACAGTCCAAAGTTATTTCGACGCCGGAACAGCTGTAGACAAGAATGTCTTCTTAGGGATTTAGGTGTTTTGTTATAAGATGTAAGGGTAACACTTCACGGTAAGGGTACATGAATTATCATGAATTCATGTATAAGTTCATGCATGAATTATGCATTCATTCATGCATTAATATCTCACTAAGATGAGTACATCATCATGAATTATGATTTATTACGCATGATCATTATGTTTTCTTTGTTCACAGTTATGCCACCATTAATAGCACATTGTTCATCAGTGTTTCAAAGGACCTAGTCACCACTTTAGTTGAGGGGCCACACACATGATGAAGTCATTGATAGATAATGCTTAGTTAATGATGACTACTGTATTGGTCAGACCCCAAAATAGACAAATCATAGCTCATAGCACACAGATTCTGTTAAAATTCAAATACAAATCCATTCTAATAAGTTTGAAGGTTCATTTGTCAATGATCCATATATACAGGTGAAACTCGAAAAATTTGAATAACATGCAAAAATTCATTTATTTCATTAATTCAACTTAAGGGGAAACTAATATATTATATAGACTCATTACTTGCAAAGTGAGATATTTCAAGCCTTTATTTGTTATAATAAACAACTACAGTAGTAGTAAATAATATAGTTATGGTATTTTATTATGATTCCCCATTTAGCCTTGTGTGATTAGTTTTTTAAGCATTGTTTTTAATCTTACTTATAAACTTCCATCTCCCTTTCCCATCAATCCAAAAATCAGCTGCGCTGAAACATAATATAGTAGGTAATTGTCAAAAGAAACACAATGCCTAAAAAAATCCACCCATACGTTTTTGTTTACTCAAATATGCAATCTAAAATAAGGATTTTTTTTCGTTATTGCACATTTAATATGGAATGAAACGGATATTCTCATTTTATCACTTCCTATCACTATCACACTCCCCAATGTTATATTTAACCCCTGTTTAGAAGCCTTTGCCTCTTATTACACAACAAAGGATAAAACTGCATTAATAGAACGGGTTTAACCATAAATAGGCTGTTCGTGGTTTGTTATGCGCTACTAACTTTATCCAATGACTTGAATCTTTTATCTGATAATGTCCCCTAAAACTACTAATTTAGAGAGCAATAATCAACTAGCATGCTTTAATACTAGGGCTGTCAAACGATTAATCGCGATTAATCGCATCCAAAATAAAAGTTTGTGTTTACATAATATATGTGTGTGTACTGTGTATAATTATTTTTAATACATAAATACCCACACATGCATGTGTATTTAAGAAATATTTGCATGTATACTGTATATAGACTGAATGTAGCCTATATATAATGTATATTTTATAGAAATATAAACATTTTATATATAAATAACATATTTTTCTTAAATATATACATGTGTGCATTTATATACAAAATAATTATACACAGTACACACATATATTATGTAAACACAAACTTTTATTTTGGATGCGATTAATCGTGATTAATCGTTTGACAGCCCTATTTAATACACAAGTTAATTTGATTCAGATGTACTGATAATAGACAATCTTATTCTTTAAACGTCTTGCCTTTTAAAAGTGCATCACAAACGGTCTGTTCTGCTGTAACTCTACTGCTCTGCTGCTACTTCCGGGAACTATTGAGAGGCTCCACGAGCAGCCATTGCTGTAAAGAAACGTTCCATTGGGCAGAATGGAGTTGTCGCAACTCTATCTCTATATGGCTCTAGTTTTTCTCAGCCCCAAAAAGTGACAATTTAAACATGCAGAAAAAATATCTGCTGGGTACTTTGAGCTAAAACTTCACATACACACTATTGACTTATTTTACGTCTTGTGAAAGGGGGCATAATAGGTTCCCTTTAATACTGTTCTCAAAAGTTTGGCATAAAAACATCATTCATGGAATGTTTTTTTCCTGAAACATTTTAGTCGGATGTTTGTCCAAAATTTTTTAAACGCTACAACTTGTTTCAGAGAACAATCAAAAGTAACATCCCCCTCTGGTGAAAATCAAGTTTATATGTGTAAAATATATGTTATTAAATCATGTGTAAATTCAAAAGTCAAAACCATTGCTGAGTATTTTCTTTTTAAAACTGCAGTGAATCAAAGACAGTCTCAAAACGCTGTTTAAAATCGCTGGTGTTTTTGACATCACTAACCTTGTAACCAATCACGTCAACGTTTGATCGCCAACATGTGGATCTCTGAGCTGGGCTGCGTTCAGCCCCGACAAAACGTCGCACAACGTTTTTTAAACCGAAACGGTGATGCGTTGAACGCACTGTTCTGATGACGCAAGAGTTGCAACTATGGCAGCTGAGAAAGGCCATTCTTTGTGTTCTTTGTGAAGAATTTTCAGAGCCTGATGAAGTCGGTATAAATATGTGTTTAATAGCCTACTACAAAATATGCCCGATACAGTTACTACACTTGCCGCCCAGAACACAAGAGAACATCCCAATCGATTTGTGGAAACTGAAATGGAAGCACACATCTTACCTAATTCAGACTAACACACATCTATTTAGCCTCACATACTGTTTTAATACCTTGTATTTTCTTTCTCATTTTTAGGAAAAGCACTTAATTTATTTCTATACCAAATGTCACACACTTGCAATGAAGCTAAAAATATAAACAACTACATCATTATGTTGATATCCTATATTTTTACAATAAAACTTACGACAAACATGTCTTCTAATATCCTCAGTTGTTGCCTATACCGAGCTGCATCGAACACATTTGTAAATTACTTTCCTTGAACCCATTGTGTGAGTTCACTTTAATACCGCGTGCTTTATATACATGTTGCTGCTGATTGGACTGCAGTTCTGACACACCCACAAACAAGAGAAAACGTATCTCAAACCCCGTTGCACACCGGTGCACGCCGTTTCCAGGAAACATGACGATCAACCCGGAAACCGTAGCAAAACGTTGCGCACCGTTTTGAACTTGAACGTGCCCCTGGTGTGAGTGAGTGGAGGCAGTGCTAATTTGCATATTCATAGAACCGCATATACTAATTGAGGCAAGGGTGTAGAGTTACATTCAAGCTATTTTAAGGCATGAAGAATTTTTTTTCAAGAAAAAAAAAACATTAAATATGTGATTTTGGTGATCAAATATGAGTTTTAAGGGATAAAATGATTGACTACAGGGGACTAAACGCTCACAGAACATTCATAAATAACGTTTTCATGTGAACGTTAGCAAAACTTTCTTTCTCTCTCTCTTGTTTACATGTTCTTGATATTATGCACGATTAATAATTATTCAGAAGAAAACAATATTAGTATTTCTAATATTTCATAAAAGTCTAAGGACATGCCACTGAAACGTCTGTCCTTTTTGACTGACGTTTCTGTTCTGCATGTATTTCTGTGCTCTATTTTGTCTCGTTTCACTTGAAATACGTACATTATGAAAGTTAATCAGGTTGAACAGCATTTCATGTTGACTTTAGGGTCATCTTCATGTTTTTCCATTTCTCTTTCAGGATCCGTTTGCCAATGATGACACAAAGGCAAAAGCGGTAATATATAAGTCTCTTTTATACTATCTTCGTCACATCACGACCGTTGTCTTCTACCTTTATACACTGCTAACATATTCTTCTTTATTTTAGAAGTCAGAAAACGAGACAAGCCAAGGTCAGTTCATTTTAACACACAATTACATATATACTTAAAGGTATTGTAGGTAGGAATTTTATTAAAAACTTTTTTCCAAATTTGTTTAAACTTTCTGTATATATCAATGCATAATTAAAATGTAAGTACTCTGAAAAAGAAAGTATAAAAATCGAGTGTCTGTAGACCTCTCACGACTGTTTTAAAGACAGCTCATTATTTCCATTCACTCCACCCCCTCCCTTCTGGGCTCCTTCCAAAGCCACGCCCCAAAAACACATGAACGCGCGACTCCGACTGCTGAGCTGAAGACGCATTATTTACCTGAGACGAGCGGGACGAGCGGAGAGGAAGGAGCGCAGTGCATGTAGTGACATCATGTCAGAATCACATGTAATAAAAAAAATCTAACTGTATCATTATGAAGATAAACAAATAAGATGTATTTTAGTACTCACTATCAAGCTAGCATATATCGGTAAAGTTTAAAATATATATTGATTCGCTAACGAGCTAGTTATCTATAAGGCAAAGCTAAAAACAGGTTGCATGATACACGTTTTTCCATTGCCATCATTTACACTGTGATGAAGATGAATTTCGTGTAACATTCATAACATATATGGTGTTCTGCATGTAAGAGTTTCCATGATGAAAGCATTGTTGACTCTGATGAGGACTATCTGATAATCACTCTCCAGAGACAAGTAGCCTACCGCATCGTCAGCTCGTTGTTTATCCAAAGACTTTTTGTTCATTACCTTTTCTAGTAACGTTACTGTCTTCCTTTTTTTGCCTGGTTAAGGTTTGCCTTCGCGAACTGCATATGTGAATTTTGATTGGTCTTTCTCTGCCATTGTTTTGCTATTCCTAGGTTCCGTGCCTCTTGAATTCCTCAAATCAAACGGGTACGCGCAAGTGGGCAGGTCCTGTGTGGCAAAAGGGTGGTTGCCATGGTTGCGAGAGAGTGACAGTCGCCTAAGCCAATCCTTTGTTTCGTCCCGGAAGGAAATAATGAGCTGTGTTTAGTGCAGATTAAACGGTCTAGAGTCACTCGATTTTTATACTCTTTTTATCAGAGTACTTACATTTTAATTATGCATTGATAAATGCAGAAAGTTTAAACAAATTTGGAAAAAAGTTTTTTATAAAATTCCTACCTATAATACCTTTAAGCAGAGCTTATTAAAGGGATACTCCACCCAAAAATGAAAATTCTGTCATCATTTACTCACCCTCAAGTTGTTGCAAACCTGAGTTTCTTTCTTCTGCTGAAAACAAAGGAAGATATTTTGTAGAATGATTGGGAATGATTGAAATACTTCCATAGTATTTTGGTGCCAAACAACTGTTTGGTTCCAATCGTTCTTCAAAATATCTTCCTTTGTGTTCAGCAGAAGAAAGAAACTCATACAGGTTTGCAACAACTTGAGGGTGAGTAAATGATGACAGAATTTTCATTTTTGGGTGGAGTGTCCCTTTAACCAGTCGTCATTAAAACCTGTATGCTATTATTTTGCCCTCTGTGTTTGAAGTGTTCTGAAGTAATATGATAGCCTTGAGTGATGAACAGCAAATTTAAGTTGCATCATGGACATGATTCGAAAAGGTTAAATGGTCATGAAAAAATAGTCACACTTGTATTGTTCGCTCTCAAAAATGACTGCATTGGAGATGAACTTCATCTAGTGAAAACATTTGGTACTGCACCCAAACAAAATCTTACTGAAAGCTCAACTTAACTTGTTTAGATTTATGGCTTTGATTTTCTTAGAGTAAACCATGATTTGGAAATATATATGAATACAGTATATACAATTTAAAAAGTATTTTTGTGCATTTTTCATAATACTATACATAACTTCTATAACTTTTTTTAGATAAACTTTTTTTTTACTTTTTTTTTTACTTTTTTTCACTTTAGCAATTATCTAGCTAATCTGTCTTCTTTTATAAGAGACCAAACTTAAGTCTGTGCTCCAAAGCATTCAAGATTTACAACAGTTTAGGTTGGAAATTTCTTTTTCAGGTCAATGCCCAAAAATAAAATTAAAACAAAAATAATTCTGTATGACATATTCCATAATAATGGCTATAGTGGATGAAATTTAAACATTAAAGCTTTTACATTATGGCCCATTACATGTTTTTCTCCTTACTGGCAGCTTCAAAGATTTGCAATACTGGATATGCATTTTGTAGCCTATTTTATCTCCGACACTGCCCAAATTAGAGCTATTATCATCCATTATAGTATTAATGTAATCCATAAGTTTACACAAAGCACTGTAACATGATAGATATGCAGAAGTTGCAATAGCCTAACTATTAGGATATCCACTCTGACGGAGTTAGTTGAGTTAAAAAACTAGCTCTCTTTTTGTCTGTTTTTATCCGTCATGTAATTTCCCATATACAGTATGTAATGCCATTCCATTTTGTGTAAATCGATTTTTATATCATTCTAATAGCTAAGATAAACATTCTCATCAATAAAAATGATAATTAAAATGAAAGAAAAGACGGGTTCACATGACTAATAACGCCTCAGTCAAGTCAAATAAATGTTTATTCATTATAGCTGCTTTTCATAATTGTCTAAAACACTCAAAACAACATCAGAGATAATACGTTTAACTGTAGGCAATACACTCAATTTAAAAATATTTAGAAGGAAAAAGTATGCCTAGATAGAGATTAAACGCTCGTTTGATAACTTGATAGCTCTATTTTTCATGCAAAGTAATGTAGGCTAATTAATAAGCTATATCGTTTGTCATCAACTTATAATAATTATTTTTAGAGCATTCAACGCTATATGAATTTATATAATATATATATATATATATATATATATATATATATATATTGTCATAATGTGGGTCTTGTGTCCTGTCATGTTTAGTGTCATTAGTGTCTTGTCATTAGTTATCCCAGGTGTTTCTTGTTATCCACGCCCCCTTGTTATCCTGTCTGCTCGTGTGTCTCTGATTATTTAAGCCCTGTGTTTCTGCCCTGTCTTTGTCAGTTATTGTATGAATGTATTTACGTACCACGAGTGTCTTGTCTGTTCTGAGTTTAGTCTGAATTATTAAAGTCTGCTGCTGCATTCAGATCCGACTACCGCCTTTGCTTCCACGCAATTCATGACATATATATAAAATGTCTTTATTCATTAGAACATTGATCTATCTCTAGGGATTTCATTTGCAAAAAAAATATATAATTGTTTTCATTGTATTAATATTATTACCTGACATTTTGTGAATTTGTTGGACATTGGGATGTTTTAACATCGGATACCAGACACAAGATATTTTTTCTTCTTTTTCTTCTTGTCATCTTCATTTATTAAATCTCTTATGGTATAGAAAAAGATGTCCCACATATTTTAGTATAACTCTTATAATCTGTCATGTAGGCTATAGCACAGCGAGTGAGAGAGAAAAATAATATATTTGATTCATTCATGAACGAATAAATGCTACATTACAGAAATATTAAACAAATAACAAAGAAGACTAGGCTATATAAAACAGACTATGAGTGTAAAAAATAAAGACAGTAGTTATGCATATTTTCATTCTATTTGTATTCATAAAGGAACAAATTAAACTAATAATAATAATACATAGGTTATAGATCATTCAAAACACTATGCCCTCGTTGCATAAATACATTTTAAATACTCTATAGCTAGTAGTGTGTAATGAAACAACCATTTGTATCTATTTATTCTATCTTTAACTCGGCATTACAGTTTAAATTACATTAAATACGAGATTAGTCTCGCTACGTGAGCAGTGCCAGAGGGTTAAAGGGGCAGTAAGCCATTTCTGAGAAACACTGTTAATATTTGGAATTAACCCAAACAAATGCACCCCTCCCTTCATTGCTCCACCTCCAAAATGCACGAACACGCAATGCAAGAGTGAGTGTCTCTTTATCATAGCAGAAGCGAACCAAAACAAAGCTTCACGAAAAATAAAGCGAAGATGATGAACGAATGACAAGGAAGAACAAAAAAGTACACAAAAATACATACAAGCAAGAGCAGCACAGCAGACAAACTATGACACCCAAAACTGTCCTGTTACTATAACTAACATTACAACAACAGCATATCTGAGTTCCATTCACACAGCACATTTTCCGAGAATGCGGTTGTGAGTCCTGAAAATGTACATGCATGAGTTCAGATATAGAATGCAGCTGTCACTCCCGTAAATGACTTAACTGCGTGTGAATGGAACTGTATAAAGACTCAAATACAAGATGGCAACCATGTTTGAATGTGGTCTATTTCAGTTTGTGTTTGTTTTTCTGGTAATATGGATATTTTATTTTATTTCAGCTTTATTTCTGTTACAGAATAAGATTTTGAATAGTTTTAGCTTCAGTTTTAGTTAACAATGACAACACTGTTTTTGATGCACCTCTGGTTTGACGTGATTAAATATTCCTGATCTATTCCTATAATAATTAATATTTCAGTAGCCAACACTTATACTGTCACAATCTTAATGATAACTTATAGGAGCCACAGTAAAGCTTCTATGTTGTCACTCTTTTGTTTCTTTTTTCTGTTTGGCTCTCAGATCAGTTCCAGGGTCCCCCGGAGAAGCCCCCGCGGGTGTCCGCTCAGGTAATTGCTGTCTTAATGCGGTTAGGGACGGGGTTGAAGGCCAGAAGAGACTTCTGATCTCTTTTTGAAGCCGCTGAGTAAAGGTGTCAGCCGTCCTTTGGAAGTTTCCAGACGAGCAGATGGCAGCAATCAAATGGCGCTTTTCCACTACACAGTACCAGCTCGCCTCGGCTCGGCTCGGCTCGACTCGACTCGCCTTTGTTTGGTTTTCCACTGTGTAAAAGTTGTACCTGTACCTGCTTTCGGGTACTTTTTTTCGTACCACCTCCGGCGAGGTTCCAAGCGAGCTGAGGCGAGCTAAGCCGATACTAAAATGTGACGTGAAAACAATGCCGACTGCTGATTGGTCACAGAGAATCTGCGTCATCATTGCACGCGCCAGATGGAGTATTTTAAATAGTTTGGCCAGAGATAGTTACTAAACTTACTACTATTATTATGGCAACTCGGAAGAATACGCCGTGGTCAAACGAGGAGGTGCAGACATTCCTTTGTTTGGTTGCCGAAGAAAGGATCCAGCGAGAGCTTGATGGGGCAACGAGGAACGAAATGCGTCGCTATGACGACCGGGTACTATTTGTGGCGGTACTTTCTGCAATGGAAAACGGAGCGAAAAGCGAGCCGAGTCGAGGCGAGCCAAGGCGAGTCGAGTCGAGTCGAGCTGGTACTGGTAATGGAAAAGCGCCATAAGCGACGGGTTTTACTGGAAGCTCTGTGACTAAAACCTGATGAGCTTTGGGCCTTTTGAGCTCACCTTGATAATGGGTCAGTAGAAAGAGGATGAGGGACGATTCCCTCACCGCATATCTTTAGACTTCAGCCTTGGTGAAGTTGAAATGAAACCTTCTGTCTCCGAGCTATGCAGTAGCTTTGGTCAGCACCACCAAATGAGAGTAAGGACTAACGTTAAATCAAATAGAGAGACTAATGACTTTTTGTTTAAAGAAGTGAAACCCACATGGTTCAAGGTTAATATAGGAACAAAAACTAAAACCATACATAAACATTAATTGAAATGAAATAAAATTTATAAAACGGATAGTTCAGGTCCTTGATTCTGATTGGTTGAGCCGCATTCAAAGCCGTTGTAATTACTCAACAAACACACACCTGTGACCGCGTTACATTAGTATTACGCCCGTTTCACACATAGGCCTACTCAACATTTACTAATACATTATTAAATTCAAAGGTTATAGTTGTTAACATTAGTTAAAGGTACATTGTGTGATTCAGGAGGATCTGTTGACAGAAATGCAATATCATATACATAACTATGTTTCCAGTGGTGTATTAAGACCTTACTTACTGAACCGTTAAGTTTTTATTACCATAGAATGAGTCATTTCTATCTACATACACCGCGGGTCCCCTTGCGTTGAAATGCGCCGACATGTTTCTACAGTAGCCCTAAACGGACAAGCGCGTTTCGTTACTTTGTTGTTCTTCGTGCAAGGAAGCTAGCTAAAGTCAGCGAATAAAACACTGACACAATGATGAACGAGTATCAATAATATTCGCAATAACAATATAGTTTTACTGAATAATAAAGTGAACATCATTTCTTAATTTATCTTTGTAAAGAAACCTCATTGCTAAACTGGCTACTCTCTGCTGTCTCAGCCGACGACATCTTTTCCTATCGGCCACCGTAACTTCTGTTGGTTGCAATTTGTAACCTCACCACTAGATGCCGCTAAATACCACACACTGCACCTTTAATGCACTGTGAACTAACATGAACAAATAATGAACAGCTGTGTTTTTATTAACTAACATTAACAAAGATTAATAAATACTGTAACAAATGTTTTGTTCATTGGTAGTTCATGTTAGTTAATACATTAATTAACCTTATTGAAAAGTGTTACCAATAAAATTAACAAATAGAGCAAAATCGTGGAAACTGCAAAGCCTGCTGATTTTAATATCAGTGTCAGGTAAGACACTTGTCTAGACTTAATTATGTGCGTCTATTATAAACAGCTACTTCTATAAACTTGTGAAGTTTACATAAATAGAGTTGTTATAATAAATGAAAACACATATCCTGCGTGATGCATTGCAAGCACACGACCACATCTAGAATACGGACACTCCCACCTAATAAACACAGAGATGTTCGTCCCATCCGAATCGGTCGAATGATAAGATTTGCGAACATCATTTAGAAAACTAGTCCTGTCCAAATAGGGCTTAATATAAATTAAAGCTATTGGAAATATTTAATAACAAAAACACAAAATGACTAAAATTAAAATGAAAACTGAAAAGTAACTCAAATAACACTGACATGGTTTTTAAACCACAATGCAAGAAACATTCTCAGAATTTCATCTGATAAAATCTTTATTAAAAACATTATTTGCAATGATTTGCTACACGTATTAACGACTGATTCTGACCATCATAGCCGGCTCCCACAGCAGAACTGGATCGCACAGATGACATGGTCTACAATAACGTCATGGAGATGGTGAAGGTCGTGGTACAGCTGAAGAACGATGTCAACACGTTACCAGCCTCAGAGTACGTCAATGTGGTGAAGGTGGGTCAACTCTGAACATCTTATTCCTGGTCATTTATGCTTAATGCTTAATGTTTGGAGTTGTGTTTCTGTTTGACAAGGCCATTATTGTCTTATTTTGCAGTCGGTAGGAATGACGTTGCGCAGTCTGATCCGCAGTGTGGAAGACATCCTCCCGTCTTTACATGAGTCCATCAGAACAGAGGTAAAGGATTTCGAAAATATAGCCGTAGTGACTTCCCAGCTAACAGAGAACATTCTCAGATCGTTCTCGATTGGTAAAAGCAAACATTCTTCCAGAGATGTTAATAGAGCATTCGGTAAAAGTTATCTGGTCTTTTTATATTGTTCTGAAAATGTTAGCACAGAAACATCATTTAAACTTTTTATCTCATAATATGACGGAATGTCATAATTTTGACATTTGATCTTATAATTATGACATTTAATCTTATAATTATGACTTAGTATACCATAATTTCAACTTTAATCCCATAATTTTGACTTGTATTTATACATTGTTCATGGAAAGTTTTTTCGGAAATGTTTTAGTTTCGGAACATCTAAAGAACATTCAAAAGTAACATTCTTATACTTTTTACAAAATGATCAAATTAAAGGCGCTATACTGTATGTAAGAATTTTCATGTATTAATCGCTTTTTGTATTGCCAATGTGTGAACGGCATGTAACAAAACCTTTCCCAACTTTATAGCTCGTCTATGAAAGCCTGCAGACTGATTTTTATGTGAAGGACTCGGGATGTTTTTGCCGTTTACGCTTGCTCCCAAGAGCCTCTCTTTCGTTCAATGACACATGAAATGAATGCTTATACAGTGTTCAAGATAATGCCGAAAGAGCCATTCTGTACATGTTATGTGTGCATGAATGCGAGCACAAGCAAGAAGTTGCTGGCTGCAGTTCCCTTAACAGCCACCGGTGTCGCTAATAACACGGGTTCTGAATTCTACGTATAGCGCCTTTAACTTTACATTTTAAAATGTTTTAACGTTCAGAGAACATCCAGAAAATATAGTTTTCATAACTTAATGTGAACATTAGCTAAACGTTCATTGAACATATTTTTGTTAGCTGGGTTAGTGAGCTATTTTGAACGAAACCTCTTAGATGGTTTTACCCAGAATGCACTTAAATGCAGTATAAAATATTGTCCTGGCTCCTCTCTGTTCCTCAGATTGAGGGAACTCAGAAGCTGCTGAATAAAGACCTGGCCGAGCTGATAAGTAAGATGCGTCTGGCTCAGCAGAACGCCGTCACGTCTCTGAAGGACGAGTGTAAGAAACAAATGCTGACGGCCGCTCACACGCTGGCCATGGACTCCAAGAACCTCCTGGACGCTGTGGACCAGGCCAGAGTACGAGCCAATATAGCCAAATCCGCCACAACCTAGATCTGATCCCTGATTGGATGTCAAACAGGGGGTTTTATCCAATGAGAAAGCTAGAGGATGAATTTAATTATAAATGACCTGGCACAACTCGCTTTATTTATGCTTCTGAAAGGTAATGAAAGCAGTGCTTTCGATGTTGAATGTTTTTTTTAGATATATTTTCACAAATGTACGATTGTAATCCTTTTTAAAGAGTCAAAGATGTTTAATTTCTGGAAAAAAGTTTGTGGAAGGAAATAAATACAGATTTTTTTGCCATTTCAAAGCATTAACTTTTTTAATTCTCTCAACTTTACAAGTATGTTTATAAATAGAACATCAATATAATTAGCATTTCTATAAAGTACAACTGATTTAGAATCACAAAAGTACTTTTAATTGTTCTGAAAAGCCTCCATAAATTTAGACTTAAATAAAAGCTGCAGTCAGTAGCTTTTTTTGGGTTAAAAATGATCCAAAATACATATTTGAGAAAATACATAACCAGCCAGTGTTCAAAACTATCTGCTTGCCTTAGTTCGATTCAAAACGGTAAGCTTGTAATAATGTTTTTAACTCCAGTGGTACTGATGGATTTCCGCGGGAGATTCGAGCATGTCTTTGCGTCATTACGTCACATCTGTACACATAAAGAAGAGCCTCGGCTAGTAGGCTATTAGTGTGAGGATGCTGGAGGTGGAGATTTATAACCTTTTCTCACAGCACTTGATATAATTAAACTTATCAATTTGATGGAGGATCCAGAAAGGTTCAAACGACAATCACCAGTGACAACAGATTCACCCGCTGTAAAAAGTTCGTTCGGACTTCGGAGTGGCTACAGAAAAAAAGAGACTGCAACCGGCCCATGCGAAAACAAGGATACATATCGGAAGGACATTACATGTAGTCACGCAATGCTGACGTTGTTAACATTAACAATTTGAGAACAAAGTATAATTTGCACGGTTTTGTGTGATGATGATAAGCGATTTTTAGATTTAATCAGCGCGATTTACTGCAATGTCAGAACCAGAACAAAAGTGGATGTTACTTACTTGTTCAGATGACATTTTCCAGTGAAAATTATTATGTTGGTCATACTTCCAAAAAGAATAATCTGTGATTCTGAATGCCAGTATCCACACCGGCGTGGTGACTGACAGCTGCACACTCCTCAAACATTGTGTTCATCCGCGCTGTGCCGTGTCGAAGTACAACCCATGTAAAGTTGATAATTCCGCGAATAACTGCAATTGCAGATTTCGAACAGAGATGGCGACAAAGAGGAAAAACTGCGGACTGCAGCTTTAAATAAAAAATCAAATTTGTAATATATTTCAAATCATTGAGAGTTCACTTTTTAATCAATTTGGATTACGAGAAAAAATGTGTTAAATTAGTTTCATGTAGATATGATCAATTAAATATTTTAATAAATGTTTTACCTTAATTTTTAATGTTTTTGCCTTTGATGATCTATTATCATTTAATTTCTAGGTTTTTCATGAGAGTGGGAATCCTGGTGTGTTTTACACAATCATCAGCAGAGGGCGACAGCGCTCATGTCGTCTCATTCATCATTAGTCTGTTAGGGACTTTTTTTCACAGCTGTAAAATAGAGCTATTAAGGGATGTGACTGGCAGATAGTCTCACTTACATTAATTATGAATTCAACCGAAGGAGACATTTTCATGTCACGATTCATTCTCGATTTCAGCTGATAAAGACGGATCCTAGTTATTAGTTTGGCTTTAATTGCTCTTCATGTTTGGCAAAATAGTGTTTTAGTTCAGTGGACGAGCAGAATTTCAAATAGTAAATGTCATTTTTCTCCCAGGTCCCATTTGACCCACATGGTCCACAGACCCGTCTTGGATAATTACACGACCTTCGCAATATCAAAAGCATTCTTTTCAAAGACTTATATATATATATAAAAAAGTTATAAATAAATAGTTGCCTTCTGACCTTGGAGATAATTGCTGTTGAAAGCGGCACGAAATGTAATCTACGATTCATTGAACAGTTGAATAAAGGGTAAAGAGTGAACTGAATTGAACTGCCACCCATCAGGGTCACATAAGCGTTTGCCTCTTTCCCAAAGGTTAATTTAGCATATTGCGGTCGGTGACGGCCCCGCTCTTTATGCATATGAAACGACAGGACTCGGGTGCAGTTTGATAGTGCTAAATGTCAAGGCATTCAGTTGTGTTTCCTGCGTTGTAAAAATGAATTGCGTCCTCAAATATTCCCTGAACAGAAAGATATCTTTCATCAAAGGAAGAGAGAGAAAAAAAGACCTTTTATATATATATATATTACAATGTTTGCCATCTTTTTAATGGTCCCTGTAAAAGGTCTTGGCTTCAAGTGTTTATCAGAGCTCTTGATGTTGGTGTGTATCACGGCTCTTAGATCATTCCTGATATCCAGGGAGGTAAGAAGAGGCCGACCGTCCCCAGCAGGCACACGATGATGAACATCCACAGAAAGATACGATCAATCACCATTCCCACGTATTTCCAGTCCTCCTTGACCTGTCAAAAAGCAAACACAGTGCGGTTCAAAAGTGCTCAGAGCGGGAAAACTGTGGACAATGTAATGAGGTCAGTGGCCATGAAGCAGAGGAATATCTGTTTAGCTGGTGGAGAAACACAGCAATATTCACACAAAGGGGTTTGCACTTTTTCAATCAGTCTGTTTCCACTTTAGACTTTTTTTTTATGAGGTCACTGCTTTTATTTGTCAAAATTGTTTTCGTAACTGCAATTTTATCTCTAGTAACTGCAACGATTTCTATAGATCAAGACTTTATATCTCACTATTACAACTTTTCTTTATTTATTTTATGACTTTATTTCTCATAAGTGATATCTGACTTTATTTCTTATTTTAAACTTAATCTCTTTTTTATCTTATAATTATGACTGGATGTCATAATTTTGACACTGTCATCATATCAATCTCTTTTATCTCATAATGTAACTTAGGACATCATCATTTTGACTTTTTATCTCATATTTATCACTTTTTTATCTCATTATGACTTTTTGTGTCATAATTTTAACTTTTATCTCAAAATTATATTTAGGATGTCATAATTATGACTTAGTATCTCATAATTGTAACTTTTTCAACTTTCAATTTAAACTACCGGTAAGTCATACTTACAACTTTTTATCTCATTTGACTTGGGCATTTTATCATAATTATGACATTTAATCTTAAAATTATGACTTGGTGTATCATAACTTTATCTCATAATTTTGATGTTTAAATTCTCATTTTGACTATATTATGACTTATGTTGTAATTTTCACTTTTTATCATAGTTATAACATTTAATCTTGTAATTATGATTTAGTATATAATAATTTCGACTTTATCTCATAATTTTTACATCTCAGTTTCCAATTTTATATTATAATTATGACTTAGCATGTCATAATTTTGACATTATATCATAATTATGACTTTTTTATCTCATGGGATGTCATAATTTTGATGTTTTATTATAATTACGACATTTAATCTTATAATTATGACTTAGCATGTCGTAATTTTGACTTTCTATCATAATTATGACGTTTTATCTCTTAAAATGACGGGATGTCAAAATTGTGACATTTTATCTCATAATTATGACATTTGATCTTATAAGTATGACTTAGTATAATCATAATTTCGACTTTATCTCATAACTTTGACTTGTCAATTTCCAATTTTATCTCATAATTACAACTTTCAATTATGATTCACCAGAGCATTATTTTTTATGTGTCAGAAAGAGGCTTCCATAATCCCTCAAGTCTGCATGACTGAAGACTCACTGAAAAGTCTTCATTCTCAGCGTGCAGGTGATCAGCGATGTAGCGCACCCCGTCCAGGGCCTTCAGGACACACGGTGAGAAGCTGAGACCGGGGTCTGACACGAGGTTCGTGAGCTTTGCTGGACGCTGGCACAGGTTCATCACGTGTCCCAACTGCCGGAGCTCGTACTTCTGGAGTAAAGGCTCCGAGTCGGACAGATGCAGAGACGTGGCGGATGGGGACGAGATGGACGTGGACATCCCCATCCCCACCCCGAACTCCATGTCCTGACAGTCCCGCCCGTCCACGTCGGTCTCCTGCTGAAGCCAGCTCTTAGATGTGCTGAGGTTGGCCGTGTTGCGGTGCTTCAGCTCGGGTTCTGGGCGTCTCATGAAGAGCCAGCGGGGAATGAGGTCCAGGAACACCGAATGAACCCAACTGGGCATTTTATGGGTGCTGGGCGATCGATGGTGCACATTCAGCACAAAGACGGTAATGACTATGGAGAGGGTGACGAATATCATGGTGAAGAGCAGGTACTCTCCGATGAGTGGAATGACCAGAGACGTCGAGGGAATGATTTCAGTGATGAGCAATAGGAAAACGGTGAGGGAAAGAAGGACTGAAATACACAACGTGATCTTTTCTCCGCAGTCCGATGGCAGGTAAAACACCAGCACGGTCAAACAAGAAATAAGCAAGCAGGGAATGATGAGGTTGATGGTGTAGAAGAGAGGCAGACGGCGGATGATGAAGAAGTAGGTGATGTCCGGGTAGATCTCGTGACAACAGTCGTATTTCTTGGTGTTGTAGGTTCCCACGGCGTTGATGATCGCCCATTCGCCACTCTCCCAGTAGTCCTTCAAGTCCACGGTGTTCTCGATCTGCTCCAGGTCAATCTTGGCCTTGTCGTAGGTCCAGGAGCCGAACTTCATCTTGCAGTTTTGTTGGTCGAACGGGAAGAAGGTGACGTCAATGCTGCAGGAGCTCTTGTAGATGGCGGGAGGAACCCAACTCACCTTCCCCGTGTGGAACAGGTGGGCTTTGGTCATGTGGGTCACTGCGAACTCGCCATCCGCACTGTAGACAAAACCACAGCAGTTTATACTATTGTTCAAGAGTTTGGAGTCGGTACGATTTTTTGTAACACTTTACAATAAGGTTCATTAGTTAATGTATTAACTAACATGAACTAACAATGAGCAATACATTTGTTACTATATTAGGTAATCTGAGTTTATGCTAGTTAATACAAATACAGTTCATTGTTTGTTCATGTTAGTTCACAGTGCATTAACTAATGTTAACAAATACAACCTTTGATTTTAATAATGTATTAGTAAATGTTGAAATTAATATTAACTAAGATTAATAAATGCTGTAGAAGTATTGTTCATTCTTAGTTCATGTTAACTAAGGTAGTTAACTAATGTTAACTAATGAACCTTATTGTAAAGTGTTACCGATATTTAATTAATTTTCTTTTTTTTTCCACCAAGGCAGCATTTATTTGATCAAAAATGATTTCAATGTGAAATAACCGTTTTCTATTTTTGGATATATTTTAAAATGTAATTTATTCCTGTGATCATAGCTGAATTTTCAGCAATTATTTCAGTCTTCATGATCCTTCAGAAATCATTATTATTATCAATGTTTTTTTTTCAGGATTCCTTGATGAATAAGTACAAAAGAACAGCATTTATTTTAAATAGAAATATTTTGTAACATTATAAGTGTCTTGGCTGTCACTTTTGACCAATATAATGCATCATTGCAGAGTAAAAGAAACGATCTTAAGTCTTAAGCCTGCATGTTGCATTCAAAAGGCCATAAAAAAACTTAAATATTTACTAACATTATAAATGAGCCACAGAAAGTATGATATGAGCCTTTTAAAAGTGCTTTCTTTAAAATATGGATGAATTATAGGAAGTGTCTTTGATGTATCTGGGGTAGAAACTTTCTTTATGCCTCTAGGAAGATGTTCCATGACAATTGCGATAATTACTTCAAATATCTACATCACTTTTTTTCTTTTTTTTTTTTTTTTTGCTTCAGGTCTGATGATGCAAGAAGACCTCAATTTCTATTTGTCGAGATCAAATTTGCCTCCTAGATAAAGACAGACCTGGCGTTTCCAAAAATAGACAATAATCATTTGACATTTTATTAGGAGATTAAAACATGGACTTTTTTTTAATCAGCTACAGCAGTGCTTAACATCTTATTTCACGCCATGTCTGTTTGATTTCACATATTAATGTTACAGAAACACTAGAGCGCTGGATCTAAGGGCTACAGATATTAATAGAGCGATTAAGACTTAGACCGCCCTCTTTCTTCCAGAGTTTTAACAGGACACTGTTAGTTTAACCATAACCTTTAATGTCCGAATACCCAGGACCACCTTGACAAAATCTTCTTGCATATGTCATGTGTGTCACAACCTTTTTAGAAATATACATCAGTACTTACTTATTGTATAAGACGATGTCAGGCACCCAAATCATCTCCGACGGGACTCTAATAGACATCACATTATCAAACTCGGAGGGGTTCCAGCGCAGTTTATAATCGTTCCATTCCTGCAGGATCCAAAGCAAATTATATTGCATTCAAGATACACATTTGAGGAGTTTTTGCTTTCCCTGGGGATCAAACCCATGATCTTGATGTTTCTGTGCTTTACTGTTTGAGTTACAGGAAGGGTAACTTGAGCTACTAAAAAGAACTATCCCTTTAACGTAACCTCCTGTTCATCAGTTGCGTGGTTGATATAGATCTAAATTGACATGGTGTGATTGTACATCTGTGAGAACTATGCTTCAATGTTACCTTTGAGGTGTAGAGGATGTATTTATACTATTTGGTTTCACCATGAAGGTTATTTGGAGGGTTCATGAATAATATTAGTTGTTGGTTTGAGCTTTGACCACAATATCATTTATTGATCACTTCAGTCAAATATAAAGACTCTCACCTGTTTCAGCCAAACGTTCGTTGTCATCATTTGATTCTTCTCATCCTGTAGAATAACAGAGGATGAAGTTAGCATCAAAGTTCGGTCTGGTAGATGAATAAATCCCACAGACTTGCATTAAAGGAGGGACTGGAAACCAGAGACCCTATAGCAACCACACATTTCCATCAGGATATGTAAAGCTCTTCTTAACATTACTAAATTTATGGCAAAAAATGACTTTTGTAAGAAGGTCTTAGTGGCTTTGAATTTGCCACTCACCAGCATCAAGCATAGAAAACATGCAAAATATCAACTTACCACATCAATAAGCTGGGCAATTGAGAGGCCAAACTTGACAATGACAACATCACTGATGTTCCGCACAGGTCTGGACCACTTATTGTAACCGATGAAGAGTTTTTTAAAAAGTTTGTCTTCTGCATGCGCATGGATCCAACCATCTGATAGTGCTGCAAGACATATTCATAGACAGATTCTGACAGATCTTGATCATGCACTTTATTTTATTAGTGATAACTGATTAATTCAGCACTTTAATTGATTACAAAGTGTCTGGGAAGGTTTTGGAAAGGTACTGTGGAGGATGAGCAACACTGAATATGTCGAAGTTATGGCTGGGTAAAAGAAAAGACTGGCCGAGCAAAGCCGCCTCCTCACTGTAATTACTATTTGTTCCTTAATCACTGCAGTCAGCTCTAATTAATCCAGCCGTCCAGTGATTTGTGATGTGTGTGTTTTTCTTAGTACAGAGGGTGGAAACTTCATATTAGAATCTAAATGGAAAGAAGAGTGAAGTCACACATGGAGAGGAAATAATGCAATGCAAACACAGTGTGTTGAATGGTAAATACCACAAGGTAAAAAAAGAGAGAGAATCTAATCAAAACGCCTCTTTGTTGCATTGTTGCAAAAAATAATAATAATAATTTTTGAATTTCTATTCCCACTGGATATGCATAAGTACTGATTTTTTTTAGCTTGTTTAAAAAATATTTCCAATGGACTACATTTGGAATTAAGGCGAGACACTACAAAAATAGTTTTTTCATGCACCTGTCAAATTTTGAGCTTTTTGGCTTTTCGTAAAGTGTTTTTTTTCGGACTGGTTGAAAGAAAACATCCAAAATACACTTTTAGCGTATCATTTAGAGCACTTTATCTATTTGCGTCTGAAGCCAGATGAGCCAGAAAATCTAAACTTCAGCAGCTTTAGACACCAAACCTTAATTTTTATTCATTTCCTGAAGGTTTTTACAGGCATTCAATACCTAAAAAAATGTGTCTGTCTGTTGACAGTATTTTGACTAATGTCACCAAAAAAAAAAAAAGGATTTTGAACCTGACTTCATCCAATGTTCAGATTTTTATTCTAGAAATGTGTGCAAATTAGTGCATATTTAATTAGATAACACCTCAATTGCATATTTAAACATAACATTACAGAAAACTTGTAATACAATTTTTGTTGTGCAATGCTTAATGTAAAATCAATCAACAGGGGAAGTATGGTGATATTTTATTTATTTATTTTTTATTACCCTATTCACATGGGGTGTCTTGGCTTAAAATATGTATGTTGACTGTTGTACAATTATAAAAATAAAAAAAATGTAATGTTTGCAATGCCCCTCATCCACAGATTGCCAAAGACGTGTTCCTGGATCGACATTCCTGTCGGGAAATTTAGTCCTAACCCTATCCACAACAAATTACCCTATAATCAGAGGGAAATGACAGGTGAATAACAGTAGAAGCACATAACCCTGATAAGTAAGCCTAAACTTCACATAAACTGTAAACGTGTCCCTCAAATCTGATTGGTTGATTGGAATGATGTTCCAGGATCTACAAAGATGTTGATCCAGGAACATGTTGCACTTGGTGAATTCAGGTTCAGATAGATACTAACACGCAATACTTCATCTAAAACTTTCTGATAGCCTAGATACTTTTATTGTTTCATTTACAAATTATTTTAAATACATACGCTACATGAACTAACCTAATTAATTCGATTTCCATATTTTTATATATATTTTAGCCAGTAAAAAAAGAACTGCACTTACCAGGTTTAACGTGTTCCACAATAAGAAAGAGCAGCCACAAATTCTTAAGAAATAATTGTAAATGATTTTGCCCCATATCAACAGTCAGAAGTCCGCTAGAGACGTGTGAAATGACTGCTGGATGTGATGAATGATCGCGCAGTGTTTGCTCGTGCACTGACGGACTGTAAGCCAATGATGACGCTGTACGGCTCCAGTGGGAGGGGTGAAGAAGGTGAAATAATTGCACGTGCAAAGTCCTCAATCATACACTATCAAATAATGCAATGATTAAGTAAATATTAACTTTAGCCAATTACGCGTAAAATATTCACTTAACCATAAGAGCATAACTTGATTGTGTAGATGGCTTTCGGTCTCATCAGCTTCTGTTTATTTTAGTTGTAGCTACAAACCCTTTTTTCTTCTTGATATTGCAAACTGTTACTTGTTATCGTGTTATTTTAATCTATTATACATTTTAATGGTAACACTTTATTTTATAGTGTCATTGTTATATGTTACAATTGTAAATAATTATGCATAATTACATGCAACTAACCCTAAAACCAACCCCTCATCCTTACCCCTATAGTAAGTACATGTAGTTCATTATTATTACTCTGTACTACTTAAATGTAGGTATAATAAGCCTACACTGTAATACTGGCACCTTAAAATAAAGTGTAACCACTTTAAAATGAAATAATATAGTCGGTAATTGCAAACATTTGACAAAGTTTGCGATCAATACAATATTGTTTTGACATTTGATTTGATCCCTTTTAACTACTATATCAAAGACTTTAAATACTTTAGTCAAGGCATAGTTTATGTGAAATAGGTCCTGTTGTTGACGTTGCTTGATATAATAACCTTTCTGGAGCGTCCATGACCTAATCTAATTAATTTGAATGATTCGCCAAATGATGATCATCGTGCCTCTTGCGAACTTCTAGCTTTCAGCCAATCAGGTACGCGTATTTGGTGAACGTCAAGTTACGTGATTAATATTCAATTAGTTGTGCCTTCGCTATAGTAGTACTGTATTTATCTTATGCCCGGAGTCCGTTTATGAACGCGGGCGCGGCAGTGCCAATCCTCACATCAGTAACTTAGTTGTAGAAGTTGTCTGAGTTTCTCCCAGAATCTGCGCTATATCAGGTAAATGTAGGACTTTACTGAACCGACCTTTACTTTTCGCAGAGAGCAATGAACTTTGTCCTGCTTTTTTTGTCCTGGCAGAAGCGAAGAAAGTTGTATAATGTTTTCTTCTCTGTGTTCCTTTTTTTTTTTTGCACAGAGGCTTGTTAGTTTTGAATAAAAGGAAATAAAAACTAACGTTAGTTTCCAATGAAGAAGGCAGTGTTGTTTAGTTTGTGGGGTGGTGTTGTTACCCCTCATCTTGCCCAGAGTTTTCAGAAGTTTGAGGAAACCACTGGCGTTTCAAGGTATGTGACTGTTATTTGTTTCTTTAAATTATATAACGTTAAATAAAACACTTATTTTTTTCGTTGTTATATATTTTTTTGATTTAAGAGTATATTTTACCAATATAACCATTAAAATAACTGGTTTAAACATGTTTTTTTTCTCTCTCTAGGGGTTTCATAAAGAATGTGAATGCAAAACTTGGCAATGAGAATGCCTTGTATCGCTCAGAGAAAGGGAAAATCACCCTAACTCAGGTAATTTTATTTCATTCATGTTAAGTATGATTTATTATTTTAGTCAGTGTGCAATTCAGTATGTTTTACTACAGCAGGAAATGTATTTGTGTGTCTGGCTTGATATAACATGTTTCCAGTCTGCTTTAGTGCAACAAAATATTTGCTCATGTGTGTCATGGATTTCTGTTTACCTCCTGCAGATGATTTCTGAGTTTGAAGCTGACTGTAAGAAGGTAGCGGCCGATCAGGGTCTGTCTTTACCTGACCAATTCTCAGCTCAGAAGCTTTTCAATGTCATTAGTCAGGTAGAATTCAACAAGCCAGTTCTTGATGCCGCTGCCATCCTTCGTCACCACGGTATGTGGTGTCCTGTTTTCTCCAGGATTTGCTGATTTATCTCTTAAAGGGATAGTTCACCCAAAAATGAAAACTCGGTCATCACTTACTCACCCTCATGTTGTGAGTAACTTGTATGAGTTTCTTTCTTCTGTTGAACACAAAAGAAGATATTATAAATAATGTTGGTAATCAAACAGTTTACGGTAGCCATTGACTTCCATAGTAGGAAAAAAAAAACTATGGAAGTCAAAGGCTACCGTCAACTTTCTGCTTACCAACATTCTTCAAAATATTGCATTTTGTGTTCAACAAAAGAAAGAAACTCATACAGGTTTGAAACAACATGATGATGATGAGTAAATTATGATTAATTTTTGGGTCAACTATCATTTTAAACAGAGGTGGACAGTAGTAGGCCATGAGACGGGACCCCAAATTTGGGCTACCGGTACCATTTTGAGGGATTAAATTTCTTTTTGATTTTCATGAAGGTACACATATCTCTAGTGTTGGAAAATGTGTGATAGCATCCGATCCATGGTAGCTTTTATTAGAAATCAACACTTATATATCATCCTACCTCAAGGTAAGGTGTTCAGTGACTACAAGAGAGAAAAATTTATCCTTTTATAATTTTAAAAATGTATTAAAACAATTTATACTTTTTTTATTATAAAATTGTATAATGTTTTTATAAAATTTAAAATTTATTTAAAGATAAATTCATTTATCCTTTTTCATCTGTTTGAATCTGTTTGAAAATCGTCCTCCGTAACCAAAAACTACCTTGAATCTTGAATCACCTTGAATCACACATTTTTCAAATACAGGGTCATATACCTACACACAAATCACCATGCGGTTTAATCCCTCAAAATGGTACCAATCAACCCTGTCTCACGGCCTATAGTGAAGTATTTTTACTTTACTCATTTTTCAAGTATCTGTACTTTATCAGTGTTTTTCTTTAGAAAACTTTTACTTCGCAACATTCCAAATTTCGTTGAAATAACACTCTGATAAAGTACAGACACTTGAAAAATGTACTTAAGCATAGTAAAAATACTTCACTCTTGTCCGCCTCTGCTTTTAAGGCATTGCTACAGGCGTCCTGGCCAATGTCTGGGTGGACGACACCCCTCAGAGAGATGCCATCGCTAGGATTCTCTCCGTTTTGGAAAGCCGCTTTGACCTGGTTTTGCGATCCTGCCATGCTGGTGTCAGAATCCCCGAGCCAGACATCTTTAACAATGCCCTTGAGAAACTGGCTGTCAAACCTGAAGAAGTAGGTGCAGTAAATTATTTCAGAAGGTCTGCAGTTGAAAATTGGCAGCAGATTCAAAGCCTGCTAGTTAAGGATGTAACCAAATATTATTTTAATTTACTTGTTTAAGGCAATCTGGCTGGATGTGGATAAAGAAAGCGTCAAGGCAGCTGAAGGTTTGGGAATAACATCTGTTCAAGTCAAGGACATCACTGAGGCTCTTAAGGAGATCCAGAAGCTTACAGGAATAGAGGTGAGGAATTCTGACCCTTAACCACGTAATTCCCACTATGTTGTTTGTTTAAAGCAATCTTATCGATAACCTCTCTATCTATGTTTACTACACATGTGCGAGATGTTCTGCCCAACAGGTCACCAGTGAGCTCCAGCCACCCTTTTGTAATCCTGAAAATGTCTCTCATGGATATCTGAATATTAAGGTCATCATTTATAATGCTTATTTCTGTCATAATCGTGCCAAAAGTTCGCTGACAATGTGCTGTTTGACAGAGAGGGTCATGAAAAGGGTGTTCTTCTGTTTTTCAGCCTGGTGTGAAGATCCACTATGTGGACATGGGAGACGGACCGCCTGTTCTCCTGTGCCATGGCTTCCCTGAGAGTTGGTTTTCCTGGAGGTATCAGGTGAGGAACATCAACATTTCCAGCGGATGCAACATGAAATCGGCTTATTGTTGCGAGTCTGACAGCTTAATGGTCAAAGATCAGAGGTGGTAACCCACAGACTCAAAAAGACAGTGTCATTGTTCAGATCAAGTCAATTCCGTTCAATGACTGTGTAAAGTTCATCAGTTATGAAACTATTTTAAACCTTTCTAAATCTCTTGTTTAGGCACGTTAGTGCTCATTATTACTTTTTCTCAATATTACTTCATTTTAGTTGAATAATGGGTAATAATGTAATGGGACTTTATTGTAAAGTGTTATCATTTTTTTTTTTTTCTCATCAGATTCCGGCTTTGGCCGATGCTGGTTTCAGGGTTCTGGCTCTTGATATGAAGGGTTACGGTGACTCCACTGCACCACCTGGTCAGTTATAATTATAATACAGTGTATCTCATGCTTTGATTTTTCTTGTCGGGCCTGTACCTGGACCATACGGTGTAAACGACTTCACTCTAATGATTGGAGACGTCCTGCATACATCACCAATCCGCTTAAAACGTAACAAGCTCTCGCTCATCTGCATTCACTTTTGAGTGCAACGCCCACAACTTAAAATCCAGTTAACAGCTGATGTAGAACAATCAATGCCTCATATATTTTGTCTGTTACACTCGCATGTATGTCATATTACAGAAGAAAAGATCTGTCGCTACTTCCTTTTTCCTCACAACTTTGAAGTAAAGACACTGCACTTGTTAGAGGCAGTGTTCATCCTCTTTCAAAACTAATAAAGTATGGCACAACACAGGGTTAAAAAAAAAAATCAAAAGTTTTTTTTGTACATAAACTTAGCTGGATACTTTATTTTTGCTCATTGTACATTAAAAATGCCCAGTCTTTCCCAGGATGTCGTCAAGGTTAAGTGTAAATATTTTTTTAATTGCATCCTGTGATCAAGGATGCTCAAGATACAGTAAATCAGCAATTCCGACTGGAATTTGTATTGACTTGCCTTATAAACATAAGCAGTTATGTAAATAGGTTATATTTTTTTAATCTATTTGACATTTTTACGCTTTGAGAACGCTTGCTTTTTTTTTACATCAGTTATGTCATGTTTTTTTTTACCAACAATAACTTTCATCTAAGTTTGCAGGACAGGTTTGACTTTTGTTTCCAAAGTGTCATTGATCTGTATCTTATATATACTCAATGCACGAGTAAAAGAAGCGATAAACTTCTGCCGAGAGTTTGTTTTAAACGTGTGTGCGTGTGGCCTGCGCTGCATGAATTTCCAGGTAACTGAAAA